CTGTAGTGCACACTCCAGTGTCCCGGTGGGAAGGGGGGTGTGAGGGGCCGTTTCGCCTTCCCTCCCCTCTGGTGACCGTCACCCAGCAGGGCTGAGGACTCGCAGGTGGGTCCTGCAGCTCCATCGCAGTGCCCGCCCCTTGGTGCCAGTCTCCCGCTTATCTGATGTAATCCTCTCATCTTGGCTCACCCGGGTTAACGGATCTTGGCCCCGTTGTCTGCTGATCCCGGGCTCCCTTGGCCAGGACAGGGGCCAGGGCAGAGCTGGGCTGGCTGCTGGCACAGGGCTCTACCCTTGCCCCCCACCATGACTGCAGTAGGACCCGTGGCTCCCCACGCCTCCCCCAGCTCTGCAGTGGTCGGTCGGTGGATGGTGGCTGAAGACCCATGGCCTGGAGCTCCAACACCTGGGAAACGCTCCTTTTGCTCCAGCAGCCTGGGTACTGTGTGGGGTGGCTCGATGGCTGGGCAGAGCTGTGCCGCCAGGTGCCAGCAGCATGGCCTGACCCCAGGGGAACTTGCTCTTGATCAGGCCAGCTTTGGTGTAATCTGAAATAATCAAATTAAAAAGAAACCACTAATCAGCTCTGATCTCATCGTGTGTCACTGAGCTGATGGTAAGGCTGCCACCAGCAGCTCACAGACAGGGGCTGCTCTGGGGAAAGCTGGCAGGGTGGCTGCCTGCACCCTGCCTGCACCCACATCCTGCCTGCACCATGCTTATGGTGCCATGGTGGGGTGCAGAGGCTGGAGGGGAGCAGGCAAAGCAAAGCTGTGCCCCAGCCATGCCAGGTATGCTGGCAGCACCATGTGGGGCCAGGCACCACAACCCCCCTGGCTGCAGCAGATTAGGCATCCTAGCCCAACTCATGCTGCACAACCTTCATTTAAATCGGTTAATGCTCAGAGTCTGCACTGCAATCAGGTAGCATCAAACCTTCCCCTCCCCCAGATTAATGAAAGGAGATGAAAGGGGAAAATAACCCAAGATTAAACATTAATCTCCCTGGGGGCTGAAGGGAGCGGGGCTTGGACAGGAAGGGACCTATTTTCTTGGGTTCATGCAGTGTTGCTGGGTCAGAGGGCCAAGCACAGGCCCCTTGCCAGACACCCAAGGATGCTCTGGCTGCTCCTTGCTCCAGGGAGAGCAGATTTTAAGCAGAAGGACCACGGGATCCCCCACCCCATCCTGTTCCCATGCATGGCACCAAAGGAAGCTCCCCGAGACCAGCTCAGAATCTCTCTTTATTATTTAAATCCATTATGTACAACAACAAAAAAAACCCCAAAATGCTTTTAAATTCTCTGCGATATGAAAACTACAAGCTCTGTACATCAACTGCCATGAGTGCAAGAGTGAAGGATCATGGTCTTTGGTGGCTGGACTCGTGCCCACACATGCCACAGAGACACCGGCACGTGGCCAGCACCCCTGGCCTCTCTGGTCACCCGGGACGGGGCCACAACACGGCTCATGGCAGTGGAGACCGGAGCACAGGGTGGACCTGGCTCCTGGCACGGGGCTGCAGTGTGGGGAGGGTGCACCAGTGGCACAGGTGGCAGAAGCGGAGCCATGCTCGGTGCCACCTGGGCTGGTGCTCCATGGGTGATACAGGATGACCACTACAACATCTACATCACACAGTGTAAATACAGCCCAGGAACGTCTGACTACGTGGCCCGGCCACAGATCCTTCCTGAGGCGCTGCAGGGGAGACACAGACCATGGGGGTGGAGTGGGACACGGCTGGACAGGGAAGGGGACGTGAAGTCCGTGAAAAAAAGGCAGTGCTGGACATCCCCTCCACTGGACATGCTTCTGGGATCCTGCTGGGTCACTCTGCCCCACAGGCCGGGCTCCCTGAGCAGTCCCCGTGCTTTGCACTGGTACCAATGTCCCAAAACATGAGGGTTGAGAACTGAAGACCTCACTTCAAGCAGAACCACGTGGAATAAGACTCTCGCCCACCACAGTGGGGATGGCAGACCCCGTTGGCCAGCAGCCAAGCCCCAGAGCACAACAACAAGCCATGGTTCCTGACTCTGGCAGTGGGAAGCAGCTTGCACAGCATGGCAGGGTCAGGAGGGGACACTACTCTAACCAGGACTGGTAACACAGGTGGCCCAAAGCGACACTGTAAGCAGAGCTCAGCTGCCTGGCAGAGCCACAACTCAAACACACATTGCTGACTACTGGCTCTGGAGGGGTGTGGGCTGCTGTGGGGACCCCAGACCTCTGCCCTCCTGCACAGACACCCATGAGGGTGAGGCAAGGCAGCACTCCAGCCCCATACATCACCCAGGCACTGCCTGGGGTTGGCATCTCTTCATTCTTTTTATTCTCTGGGGTGCTGGTGATCACCGTCTCCAGGCAGCTTGGAAATGGGATCACAGCACAGGGCAGCAGGGAGCAGAGCCAAGGCTGAGCATCCTCCCGGAGCCACAGGCAGCCAGGTCCCCACCTTGCTGGAGCATGGCAAGGGTCCAGGCCACAGCACCTGGGTGTGGGGGTACAGTCCTGCCCACAGGCACATCCCAATCCTGTGGGACCTGGCACTTCTAAGGCCAGATGCTCCCACAAGCAGGAGAGAGGCACCTGGGGACTGCTAAGTGGGTCACCCACCTGCTCCACCACTTGGCACTCATCAGACCAGGGGGACCCTGCCTGGGATTCCAGGTCCTGGCACCATGTCCCAGGAGACCTGCTAGTGCTTCAAGAAGGGGAGACCCAGCTGTCTCTGAGTACCCAACCTCTGCCTGCCTGGGGAGAGCCCAGTGGGAGCTCCAGCTCTCTTGCCCTACCCTCGGTGTTGGGTCCCAGAGGCTGCTTCTCCCTCCACTCCCAAAAAGCAAAGGGGCTGGGCAGAGCTTTTTGGGGATCAAGGCAAGTGTGTGGCAGCTACTGCTGTGACAAAGGACATACTGAAGGACCCACTAGCGCCAGCCTGGTGCCAAGGAGAGGCCATGGGGGCAAGGGCATAGTAGGGGGCCCAGCACCCAGGGAGTTGTCATGGGGAGTGAGGGTCCCAAGGGACACTGGAGTTTGGGTGAGGGTGCTAACCTGTCCTGTTGTCTCCAGGAGGGCGGGACTTGAGACAGATGGTGATGGAGCGGAGAGCCCAGGCAGGGTCTCTGCTTCATGGCAGTCAGCAGAGCCCCCTCCTCATCCAGCTGGGCTGCCCCACAGCCATTCCTGCCATGTCCCGGCACCTCGAGCACACAGTCCATGATCCGGAGTCCTGCCACCCCCCTCCCCTTTCCTCCGGGGACCTTTGCCAGGCTCTCTGCCTCTCCTGCCAACTCTGTGCTGGGGACTCACATGTTGGATGGGAGTTTGGGCTTCCCCGTTTCCACTTCAGGGCTGAAGGCCACAGAGCCCTTGCGGGAGGGACCTGCTGCCTGCCTGGACGTGGAGACTGGGGACTGCGGGGTGGATGCTGCAGCCACGGAACGGCTGGGTTGAACCAGTGATCCTGAAGGCATCTGCTGCGAGTGTGCTGGCTGGCCTGGGAGCCCAGGACATGGCTTGGTGAGGAGGCCGGCTACTGACGGGGAGGATCTGCGGGCCAGGTTCCCAGTGGATTTCCTGCCCTGCTGCAAGGAGCTCCCATCGCCTTGCTGGGCCACTTTATTGGGAAGAGAGGGATGGGAGGCAGAGAGGAGCCGGACGTCCTGGGTGAGCCGCCCCACCGGCAGGCCCTGGATGCTCCTGTGCTTCACCAGCTGCTGGGGCTGCATCAGGAGAGAGATGTGGGAGCCAGTGGCTCGGGACAGGCTGTAGTGCAG